CACACTCATACTAGAGAAGCCTGTTAGCTGTTAGCTTTTCTCATACCATTACATGTGTTGTTGTTTTAAAGAGGGAAAGGAAAACATGGTCTGTAGTGTTAAGTGGAATTCAGTCAAGAGAATTTCTACTGGCTTTGGCTATTTAAAAATATTCAGCCAGATACAGAGCAAAAATGGAAAGACCCCCCCCATAATATTTCCTCTGAAAGTATAATAATTCTGTTACATTCCACACTCATTTCATTGTATTTACCTCTAGGTTATCCACATCCTCTATACACACTTACATATGCTTGTGTGTTGTGTTGTGCCAAGCATCAGACTAAGATCTCATTGTGGATTATTTCCGAGATAATTTAATCATTATCATCTCCATTTCATAGACTACTAAAGTGAGGCTCAGAGAGGTTCATTCATTTTCCCAAGGTCATGCAGTGCTTGTTTTCCTCACGAGAGGGTCATCATACTAATGTATACCAATCCAATTAAATGTTTGCATCAATGAATCTATTTACTCAGTAAATGCCTGTTGAATGTGCATCTAAATGTTCTAACACATAGGTACCTGGAATGGTTAGCTAAATCTGTAAGCTACCTGATTTGCTCCCATTCATCTAGTCAGAAATGAGTAGAAAGACTACAATCCAGGTGTATTTTAACAAACTGGTTAGGACAACTCTAGACAGAAAGAAAGTTCAGTTACCTGAATTTTAGAATTTAACATTTAGAATATTATTGCCTCCATGAGATGATGAGTTTGGAGCCTCCAGAAATCAGTGCTAGTGGTTATGAACCAGTAAATTGGACATCATATAACTAAGTTCTGAAACATTTGCTTAAACTAACACAAGGACCAGGGATGTAGCTCAGTGGTAGAGCACTTATCTGACATGTGTGAAACTCTTAAGTTTGGCTTCTGGTACATCAAAACTAAAAGTTCTCTTTAGAAGGCAGGCAATGCTCTACTTCTATACAAGGGAGATGAGACCAAACAACACTTAAAATTGGAGCCTCAATTTCTTGAGTAAGAAGACTGATGGATGGCAGAGATGTCAGGTCTTCAGAGGAGCTTGATTCCAAAGTTATGATGTGCCATCTGAAACCAGAGCAGACAATTATATAGAAAATCAGAAGTCCTAAAGGGGAATATAAAAAAGTTGTATATAAAAAGATACTCTGAGAAAGAAATCAGAACACAAATGCAGAAGAATTGGATCGTGATGGTAGAAAAAAATTAAAGGTTACGTGTTGAGACAGACCCAAAATCCTACCTATTATGTAACACATTCCACAAGGCTGGCCAATTTCAACGTACACTAGGAAGGGAAATGCCTTTCCCAATATGCGGGTGGAGTGCTTGAGCCACAGGAGCGCCCAGACTCCAACTGCAAAAATGCCAAAGACTTCAAGAACCATTTGGCAACATTTACAGGGATGGAAGAATCGTTGGATTATAGCAATAAACATGGTAGGGGATCTGAAGGAACAGAGCAAAAAGGAAGTTTTGCTTGAAACCCTTCTGTGAATGACTTTATATTTCTGGGACTACAGATAAGTAAACATGTATACAAACATATAAAGTATGGTAGTGATGACAGGGAGTAAGTGCCCTGATGGAAAATCAGAATAAGAATGGAGACGGGAGGAGGAGAGGGAGAAAGAGATCTCAAGCTTTTAAAATTGTTTGCAAAGAAACTGGAGTCTATGATGGAATTTAGTCCTCATGACAGAAACGGTGTTGGAAAAAGTATTGCTGTCATCCCTCTCTCTTTAGAAATTCTTTTTTTTCTTCATAATAAAAATCCCGTGGCAGCTCCTTGTCTGGAGGACTTTAAAAATAGGAGCGATTTCATCTGTCTGGAATGGTCTGTGTCAGCACTTGCCCTAGGCAAGGTTGCCACATAGGCGCAAAACACCCCCACTCCCATCCCCCTAGCCAGCACTTTTCCTCTCCCACTAGACACCCCCCATGCCCTATGCACCCCGACTTCCAGCTCCAGGCCTGCCTCCCTTTTCTTGGCCCGTAGCTTCAGCATGATCTCCCACATCAAATCAAACCCGTCTTCCCTCAGTCTGGCAGCCTTCTCTCCAGGTGCGAGGGGGTGCAATCTCTTTTGCCCTTCGTGGCCTATTTGAGTTTAAAAATAGGACCCTGGTTAACCCGAATGAATCTTAAATTGGAACTCTGTGCAGTGTAACCAAAGGAAGAAAGGGCAGGGGGAGAGGAGCATATTTTTGGTCAGTGGGGGAAGTGATGGGGAGGTGGGCTGCCTTCCTGGAAGCTATTAAATCCCAGATGTAGGCTCTGTTCAGTGTGCCACTGCCTTCCTTAGAGTGACCTCTGCCCTCTCCTGGTTGCTGCTAATTCTATGGCTCAGTGACTTCCAACTCTGCTTCCGCGCACCCACACCTGGGTTCTCTCTGAGCAGCCTGAGCACGCTGGGACTTGGCTTTAACTAGGAGTTTTCAGCGGCATGTTTTTGTGCAGATCAGGCAGGGTCCAATTTTCCCATCGCCATCTTCCCTGCAACAGCGGCACTTGAGTTCGGCGATGGTGGCCATTAAAGCCATACGGAGCTCAACGGGATTTGCACTTAGCCCTCTTCAAAGTGCTTGTTCTCAGAGAAGCCTAAGAAAGCCATCTCTCTGTGCCCACCGCGTGTGTGGGATTTATGAAGTAAAATACGTGTGGCTTATGTAAAGAGAATACACCATGCACATTCCGCAGGCAAAACTGCAAAATGAACTTCACTCAAAGAACTCCTATGAAGAATCCGGTCAACTTCCTGTTAGAACAACCACCACTTAAGAGCATCTACTGTACATCAAGCTCTGAGCTAGACTTGGGGAGGAATTTTTTTCAAAAAAGGGGGAAGGTAGACAAGCAGGGCTAGATGTGTCCTGTTGGAGGTACACGGAGTGACTGGGAAACTCAGGGTCCTCCTCCT